GGGAAAAGGCACTTGAAGGAGGAAGTGATAGAGATCCATAAAATGATGAGTGTAATTGATGGAGTGGATAGGAATCAATTGTTCATTGCCCCTCGCCTTATAAGAGCCAGAAGGTATTAAATGAAGCTAGTCAGGTGCATGTTAATAATCAAGAAAAGGAGATGATTTCTCATCTGACAAGTTGCAGAAGTCCTTGTTACTTGATGTTCTACATATTCAAATTTTGAATGAGTTAAAAGGGAGTGTGAACAAGTTCATATATAAGAAATCCATTGTTGGTTACTAAGTGTGCAGAGTTCACATTCAGGTCAGGAAGCTCTTTATCAAAAAATAATGTTCTGGGGAACAATAGTATCATCTATACTTGGCCTTTGGTCCACACTTTCAGGTATGAGATACAGAACTAGAAGTGGCATTGGTTTGACCCACAGAGGCTGCTTTTATGTTACTATATTCTATATTTTTATTCCAACCCAAGTCTTCTAATTTTAGAATTTTAGCTAGCTGACAACCCTTTACTTACTCATGGATATTATATGCACTTCCCTTCTTGGCTGGGGTTTTGGGGTTTTTTTTGTGTGTGTGGGGGGCAAGATCAAAGGAAACATCTCCTGATGTTTGAGCTTTACTTTTTTAATCACTACATTAAATATATCCTTTTGCTTGTTCAATAATGTAGATGACAGCTTAGGATTTGGTCTGCATGATAGTTATTATTCACAAATGGTGACCTGGTCTAGCCAGTCCTGTTGGAACAACTTCCTGGAACAATAGTACAGAAATTCAGAGGGCAGTGGCATATGTGTGTGGATCACAGAACAGTTGGGAGAAGGAAATTTTTGATTCATTAAGTCATTTTTTTTCTAGAGTCATAATGCTACTGTTGAGACGCATTTTTACTTTGATTTGAGTATCTTTTTGTTCCAGTTTTCATTACCATCATCTTAAAAAGATCTTAAAACCCGCCCTGCAAAGGTTTCCCTGAGATCATATTATTTAGAGAAATAAGCCATGATACTGGAAATAGGGAGGTTTATGAATTCTCATTTCAGCTTTGTGACTGATTCACATGACTTTGAACAAATCATGTAAATATCTGTGCTGTCTCTAAATTGAAGATAACAGCAGCCTTATAGGAATGCTTTTAACGTAAAGTATGTACAATTCTATGAAGACTTAAATTATGATTTATTAGTGTTTTTGAAATAGTGCTTTAGGGATGGAAAAACCACGCTAATGAGTTTTGGGTGCGTAGAACTAGTTATGTTTTGTGGTTGGCTCTAAGTGATCTCTCGTACAGATCAAAATACATGGGATGCAAGTGTAGTCTAACGTGCAGATGGGATTTATTCTTTCTGCATATTTCTCATGGTGCTTCATGAAGAACAAATGTCTGCTTCCACCTAGCTCTACATGAATGCCTGTTTAGGACTCCTGCAAAACTCAGTAAGAGTGACATTGTTTATTTTATATGCATAACAGTTGTACTTTGAGCCCTACCAAGGAGTGGCTGGTCCCCTCTGACCTACCTGCCTGGCAGGTGATGCTGTGGTGTAGCCTGGGGTGCAGTTCCCTAAATACAGCTATGAGAATACTCTGAGTAACTTCTGTGCAGGAACTGCAGTGCAGCCAGGAGGAAGAAGGTGAAGCACACCTAGGTATTGTACAGACATACGTTTGAGATGTTGCCAAATTGTGCAGTGGAATCTGGGATCTGAGAAGCTCTGTATTTTCACAGGTGAGACATACACTACAGAGAGATATAACTAACAGATGATTCAAACAGTCCCTGCCCTAAAGAGCTTCTGAGTGTTGCCAGTTGAATGGAAACACGGCATTGCTCTGACATAGGCAAAAGTTATTTCCTTTTATTACGTGATTCTAGCAGGTTTTTTCCTTAGCGATATTCTCTGTGGAAGCCTAAAGTCAAAGAACTTGTGTAGCAAAATGTGGTTTTTTGTTTCTAGTAATGAAGTCACGCATATTTATAGCATTATCGTCTAAGAATCCCAAGTAGCAATTACTAATTACAAAGAGGGGGAAGATACTCCTCATTTTATTGAGGAAACGGAGCCATGATAAATTAAAGGGACTTTCCCTGAATCACAAGAAACTTAATGTGGAGCTAGAAATTGAGCCCAGACCTCCTGACGATGGGTTCGCTGTTTCAGTCATATGACCATCCTTTTCCAAGGATCAAATATGCTCTCCAGTTTAGTCTTCACATTAGTTTCCAGTGCTACAATTCAGTTCCTCTGAACTTTGCCCGTTCACTCACTTTAGCAAAAAGGCAAACATTTGCCCATTTGTCTCAATAGTAAGTAGAAACTGCTTGCTATACAGATGACGATTTCCTCTCCATTCACATGCTTCTCATCCTAGTATTAGAAGGCCAGCTTGTGTCAGCAAGGGCCTGTTTAAATTAGAAACCAAATAATGTTTTAGGGATGCCTTGGGCTGTCTTGTGGAGAGGGTTCTTCTCAACCCTTGCCAGTTACTACTTGGTGGTCCTGCCAATCCTTGCTGAGTTTCAAAACAAAAGTTGCTCAAGCTCGAACAGCGCTGTTAGCCCAGCATACGCAGCTGGACAGCTGGTGAGCTGGGACGAAGCAAGGCCCAATGCTTAACTAGGCACAATTCACCAGACCATGTAAAGGGACAGGGGAGTGGCACTGTCCTAATTGTTAACATTCCTCCTCTGCAAGACTTCTCCTGATATTTATTTAATAAGCCCAGGCTCATAAAGTCTAAACGATTTAAGCAATCAAGTGGTAGCCGATGTGTATATGGAGATGACATGCAGCCAGACTAAGTGAAGGGTGAAATACTTAATTTCTGACTTTGCAAAGCTTTTTCTGGCAATTGCAGATGAAATAGTACCTCAGGCAGCTGTGCCCAAGAGTGGAGTATACATCGCGAGTACCTCAGGAGCTGTACTTTGGGCCAGGTTTGCACAGCCACCGCTCCTATTTAAGTGTGCGTGGCCCGTGTGCTGGCGCGGTCTTTTCAGACAGTGTAGAGAAGTTTCTGTTGCTGCTGTGAGTAATATTCATGAACTCTGGTCTGGTGTTTCCAGCCAGTGGCTACAAAAGTCAGGGATGTGGTGTTGCTCTGTTGTCAGAGGGGCGAAAGGCGGGTTCAGCAGAGCTGACTGAAACATGCTGGCATTTCCACATCCCAGCAACAGATGTTTGTAAATAGGTGTGCCTTCACAGGTAGAAAGGAGTGTCACCATCTAGAGACTGCTGTGTGTGGAGGTTTGTTCTTTCTTTTCTGTGGAGCTGTTACTGAGTATTTTAGCATTAAATGGGGGGAAAAAGCATCATTACATTCATTAGCATTTCATTCAGAATTATTTCCAACTTGTAGCAGAGCAGGGATGCATGGTGACTGGATGTTAAACTTTCATTCATGGGATGAAGAGCTCTAAGGTTCAAACTGGAAATGGGACTGCTTGGAGTGGTCGTGGGACAAGGGAGAAAAAAATGCATTTTGATTAACCTGATCTTCAGCAAAAGTCAGGCACTCGGAGATGGCTTTTGTTAAAAAGAAAGAACACCAAAACCGTGATGTTCGTATACTTTCTCAAGAAAAATAAAAGAAGCATTATCTCTATTTCAGCTCATCTTTGAACTACACAAAGGAAAGGCAGTGCAGAAAAGGAGAGTATTTTTTTCTGGTTGTACTTTCTGTGTTCTCTCATTAACGGTCTTTTTCTTGTGAGTGGTCATTTAGCGTGTTTGATTCAAACAGATCCAGTCTGCATAGTTTTAGAGTAACTTTGTTAATGTTCTTTTGATAACTTCTGCTTATCAGCCTAAGGCTTATTGGCTGACTAAATCAGTTGTTAGTGCATTTACAAACAGTTCAGCCTGATTACATTGATCTAAGCACCAATTTTACAACTTTGTCTGCGGTGCCATTACAGAAATTGAGCGAGCAAGCAGGCAGGCACCCTGCGCATACCTCTCTTTTAGGATGGTGATTTACTGCCTCTATCTGCTGCCTTTTACAGCTGTGTGCTGGCTAATGTCCCTGCCTTGCTGGTGAGCTTTTTTCAGTCCTGTGATGCTACATCCTTAGTGTGAAATCTGAGTCCGACTTTGCCACCAGACTGAAAAACGGACTGCAGCTTTGCTAAAGTTCTTTTCCCATCTTTCCTGTGCTTAGAAAAGCAAACTGGTATGGGCCATAGTAGGTCAACACAGATGCTTTCCTTTTGACCTACTTCTTTTTGGCTAGTCTATGTTCTTTGACCATTCTCCGAAGCTTGTGTTTTGTTTTGACTTGGCCTGATGGCTGAAAGCTTTACTGTAAATTATTATTTTTGACAGTTATGACATTGATATTCCACTCTCCCATAATATCCTCTGACCTGCAGGTATCAGAATGCACAAAGATACGCCTAAAATGTCACAAAAGAATGTAATTCACATATAGTTACAAATTTGTTCAGATAAACAGTGTAAGCAGAGTACAGTATCTCAAGGAGAAATGACAAGCACCACTGATTAGAGTATTTACAGTTAGAAGGGGTTTCTGAGTTTGGTTCAATACATAATTTCTGATTATGGAGTCAGTGCATTAAAATAGTATCAAGTAACAACTTGCCATTTTTCCGTAAGCTACTAAGATGCATATAGAGATGGATTCAACTAATAAATCGGCAAAATACTGGCTATTGGGATGGAGGGGTGTGAGGTGAATGAGGACGGTGGGAGGAGGACAGCTACAAGACTTAAGCATCTGAACAAGGATACTCTGAAAAGCATCTGGCTATAGTGGGTCCAGTAGGGGCTGAATGGTTGGGGTTTTTTTTGCTTCAGAACAAAAGGAAGAAGGGGCCATCCTGGTTGATACCAGCTTTACTCGGTGTATGAGAGACTGCTTTCAGAGCTCTATCATTATCTCCTTTGTTTTCTCAGTAGTTTATGTATAAGCAGTATAAAAGTATCATCTTTAACCTTAATTGAAGGTTCCCATGTTAATGTTTTTTTCAGGTGGAACTTGCAGAAATTTGCACAAAGAGCGAACGTTATATTGGCACAGAAGGTGGAGGAATGGACCAGTCAATCTCTTTTCTGGCAGAAGAAGGAACTGTATGTGGTTCTTTGTAATCTAAACTAACAATGTAACATTAATTTATGTAAACAAAAATATCTTCCTACATATCTAGCAGAAAGACAAGAAACTGGAATACCTTAGTAAGCAGTATAAGCACTGTTGGTATGCGAATGAAACAGGAATTACATGTGTAAACTTGTCTATAATTGAGTATGACAAGTTTGAAGGAATAAGATGATGAAAATGAGAAATGCCAAGATGAGAGAAGAAAAGATGTGGGGAAAGATGTACTCCAGAAGAGCACCAGGTTCCGCACTATTTGGCTAATTCTTCACTGAACTTAGAATGTTTCCCATATAATGAAATCTGAATGGTCGGTATGCCTTGTATTCAGTGCAAATGGGATAATTATCACAAAAATGCTTTCTTGAAACTTCTTATAACCAAACAGTTCTAGGAAGTATTGCCAGGTCCAGTTACAAAGACAATGGAGATTTTTTTTTTCCTAGTTTTGCTAATTCCAGACAATTCTGTGGCTGGATTCTGATGTAGAAGGCATTTAGCTGTCCTAAACGTGGTGACAGAAGGTGGACCAGCAATGATAAACAGGACCTGCCAAGTTATGCCCGAGTGCTTGCAGTGGAATTTACAGTGGAGTTCACCCACTGTCCCAGAAGGTGCACAGGGCTGTGAATGTTCAAACCTAAAACCTGTCAAAATACTTACACTGAAATTAATGTAGCATTTCATGACAACCTTTACTTTACTTTTAATTGTGATGTTACATCTCTACAGCTCTTGTTCCTTAAGGCCATATCTTGGATGAGCTTATACAGAGAATAAGGTATTTCCTAGAGTTACACCAAACGTTTAAATCCAACATGAGGCACATGTATTTTATTTCACATCACCTGTACCTACTCTACACCTTTTCTTCGCACTTTATACTGTTAGTAGTAAACAAACAGCTCCATGAATGCTGAAGGAAGCATCATGTTTTCCTGGCATACACACAGGTGATCATATAAGTGGAGGCTTTTCTGACATGTAGAGGTGGCAGTCAAAAAGACAAAGAAAATGTTGGAAAAGATCAGAAAAGAAATTCTGAACAAACCAGAAAATATCCTTGCTTCAGAGTACTTGCAGCAGAATGCAGTATCTGGCCTCCCATCTCAAAAAAAAATTACACTAGAACAAGAAAAGTACAGTAAAGGACACTGAGGTTGATCAAAGCAATTTTTTTATATGAGCATTGACTGAATAATTTAAAACTTTTCAGCTTAGAGAACAAGTATCTTTGAGGGTGATATTTGCAGCTCTGTAAAACCCCTGAACGTGTAAGAGAAGGTAAATTGAGAATTCAATGTTTTTCGTAACCGAAGAACTAATAGAAACACAATGACATTAGCAAGCAGCTTGTTAAAAACAAACAAGGAAGTTTGGTTTGTTTTTTTTCCAAAACATTCATTGTTAAATTGAGAAATACCGTACATTGTGGAAGGCAAAAGTTTAAAAAGGGTTCAAAAAAGACCTTATTGGATACACTGATAGAGTTTTAGCCTATTTGTAGTGATTAAACATAATAGTCTGATGTGTCTTCCAGTGTAAGTGTAATCACCGTATTCTTTGCTTATGGGAAGCTGGAAAAATACACCCAAGAAAAAGGTTGCTTTGTATATGTCCTTTTTTTATGTTCCCTCTAACTATCCATTTATGGCTGCTGTCAGAAACAGGACACTGGACCAGCTTAGTGATACATTCTGATCTAATGTAGCAGTTCTTAAAGGGTATATTTAAATGTAAGCAAGCTTGTCTGCCTTGATAGTAATTTTGTGACGTGGTCCAGAATCTCAGTGGCAGGGAGTAACACACATGCTGTACATAATGTACAAGCAGATTTGTCATTGTTTATTTAGCACTCTAGCTGCTCAAGGAACTCTCTAGGGGTGAACAATGCCAAAACCAGTAAGACGTCCCTGCTTGCAGAGTTACAGTCTATTCTAAGAAGCCAAAGCAGGGCACATGATTTACATCTTATCCCAATGAAAAACCAGATGTGAATTTAATCTCTTGATTACATTACATCCTGAATTATTTAATTAATGGATGCCTAGCTTATTCCATGTAAAGGTCACAAAACGTTGGGAACATCTTACGCAGCCTGTGTAAGGCATCTGTGAGGCAGGGAAGCCTCCTATGTCAGAAGGAAGGAGACAGTAACTACTGATTTAGTGGAAAATCAGAAAACGAAGGGGGAGATAGACATTGGTGGAGTGGAAGGGAATGTGAAGCCCCTTGTTTCTAGTGGCACGCACATCAGCTTCAGGCAGGCCTGGTACTTTTCTGTAGATCAAAGAAAAACTGTTGTCTTAAACAGGCAAGAAAAATAGGTTGGGTGGAGTTCTGTGAAATGCTGAAAAAAACCAAAGACTTAATGGAAACATTTTAAAATCCAGCTACATGGGAAAGGTTTGAAATGTGTGTGTAACTTGGCCAATGAGGTTAAACCTCTTTTCTCGCTGTTTCATGTCAGTTTTCTTTCCGTAACTGTCCCTGGATTTTCAAGAGAAAAAACATGCAAATTTACATTTGATTTATAGAACTAAGTGCACTGTTAGCTAGTAGTAAATTAAAACTAACCATTCATTTTTCTTTCAATAGGCCAAGTTGATAGAGTTCAGTCCTCTGAGGGCAACTGATGTTAGACTTCCAAGTGGAGCAGCGTTTGTTATTGCTAACAGTTGTGTTGAAATGAATAAAGCAGCAACTTCTCATTACAATATTAGGGTAATGGAGTGTCGTCTGGCTACAAAGGTAACGCATGGCTTATGTCAAACTCTAATGAAACCTTCATCTAAATATGTGCTTTTTTCCACTTCTGACCGATCGTGTCTTTAACACCTGGCTAGGTGCTACTTTAAGTAGCATTTTTCTTTCCAGAGCCAGACATCTCCATCTCTGCAGAAACAGAACTCCTGCCGAGTTTAATGGAAATGCAAGGACTGTGCCCTTATATAGAAGATTATGTGATTTAGTTCTATTCAATTTATTTTGTACTCTATTACAATGGAGGAAATAAGTCTATTTTTCTGCAAAAAAATATTCTCTAGTTAATAAGATAGACTGTTTCTAATTAAAGCTGAATAATGACAAATAATGGAAAGCAACCAGTGTGGTCACATGTTTATATGTATATATGGCAATAGATGTGTATTTTCTAGGATTTAGAGGACATCAAAGCTACTAGTTGGAGGCCTGGAAGTAATATTGGAAATGTTGAATAGCAGCATGTATGTCAGCGTAAAGTTTAAAAACAGGCTTGAATCAAAACCCAACATTTAGGTTGTACTGCCAGTTTACAGCTTGCACTTATCTATAAAATGTATGGAATTTGAACATGAAAAATCTAAGTTCCACTTTGATTCTGGATTTTGTAGACTATACGTTTAGGAATATGTAGATGTAGGGTTTGATTTGGTTTTTTTTACAGGAATACAGTGGATTTTTCTTTGATTAGATTAAGTGAGGAGTAAGCGTAAAGATTTACTGCAGTTATACCCAACACAGTGTGCTGTGTGAAAGAACAGAATTTGGGTTAAAGTCTAGATAAAGGTTTTGAAAACTGCAGTGTGGAACTCCTTGCTGCGAAACATTTCGCCAAAATCTGAGCAATACTCAGAAGTACTTTGAGCATCTGTTGCCATCATAATTCTATGCAAAATTACCGTAGTTAATGCTTAAAAAAAAATTGAAGGGATGATCAGATACTGACAAAATGTAATATAAAATACTGTGTTGAGATATTTTTCGAGGACGGAATCTAAACTTAAGATGACTTTTTAAATGGGCTTTAAACTCAAGTCTAAAGAATACAGCTGCATTTTAGGTGTATATAAGATGTGGTAAAAATAATAGCACCAATGACCATGGCTAAAGCTGCTGTCACTGCAGTTAATAAAAATTCTTATGCCATTAAGAAAATCAGGATAAGGACCTGTCTGTGTGTTGGTTCGGGTATAACTGATAAACCTCTAATTTAGGATAGTTAATTGACTAAGTATGTATTTTAGGAAGCGCTTTTTTTTTCTCTCACAAGAAATGGAGAGCCTTCACAGATGAACTATTCTAAAAGGCAAACTACAACAAGTGCACTAAGTTGTAAGACCTTTTGAAGTATTGTTCCATATAACAGATTTTGTAAATTGAATCAGTTTTCTAAATTGCTTTAAATTATTGGTCCTGTGTAGTAAACTGAAAAGGTGGTAAGGAAAGATTTTTTCTTTACATTCCTGTTAGCTGTGATGCAACCTCTAAAAAGGTACCTTTAGCAGATGCTTGATGTTAAGGAGACTAACAACATACACCTGTCTATTTTTAAACATACGCTACCCAGATGGAAAGTTGCACGCACTATAAAAAATACGTTGAGCCAGGAAAAGACTGTCTTTAGTAACAGGTCACAGTGGGGTGAAGGAGGGCAGGTATGTAAGCAGAAGCAGGGTAGTCTGTTAAGCACCATTAAGCTGATGGAACTATGAAGTAACATGCTTGGCCTCACAATAATGCTTTAAAAGAAATTCTCATTGGTAAGTCCCTTAGGATGGGCCTGTCTTTCTTTTTCTGCTTTAGGTCATTCTAGAATTTCATACTGTTCACAGAAAGCTCCCTGTAAGTAAAGATGCCAACACAACATATGCCTGATGGCATTAGCGTAAAACATTTTGATGTCAGTCAAAGCCAGTAAGCTCTTGATCATCCTCACAAAATTATCTTTCTTGGGTTCTGCTCCTTTCTCTTCCCTTCTGGACAGTTATTCTTGTGCTTTTTTTTTTTATTTCTCTTTTCTTGTTCTAGCCTCTGAATGCTTTTGTGTACTCCATTAAACACTATGTTTAAAGACGCTTACGTTCTGCAGAACACTTACAATTCCAAAGGAAATTAACTTGTACTTAATGCTTCAGAAAACTCACACAGTAGGTGCCGCAGGATGAATGTGAGCATTAGTCAATGCCATGCCCTCCCCTGGTTCACTTCACTGTCAGCTATAAAGTGGTGCCAAGAATGTCTGCAACTGGAACGCCATATAGTTAATCAACTAGTGTTTGTTAAATGTGGAAAGATGCTCAGATGACATTATAGAAATCTAAAGTGTAAGAAAGTGGTATTCCTATATTTACTCCTAGTCAGACTTTTCTTTTATTTATATTTGTCCCATCATTTACTAAGTAGGTTTTCCTCTCAGTGACTTACAGTTCTCCAGTGTGCCTGTGTTGAACAGTAAAGGATAATAAAGCCTACAGATGCTATATCCTGGCAGTTAAGAGCCAGCTGGATGACGTCCACATCTTTAATCCATCTAGTGAGAGATCATCAAGAAAATATCCAACTGTGGGATCAGTAGTGGGGTTACTTTTGTACATTAAATAGATAGGATTTTTCCCCAATTCTGTCCAAATTACAATTTGAGCTGCTGCAGTTAGATTATTTTCAAAAACCGTTTCTATTTGCCCATAACATTTTTCCCAGTGCTGTCAGAACTGAAACTTTGCTGGAAGCAGTATAGACCTTTCCAACAAAGCCCTGCCCACTGGCCGGATGGGGTCAGTTTCCTTTTGGAACATTTGACCTGTAAAACCCCAGCGTAGTTAGCTCATCTAAAATACAGCATCTCCCTTGAAGTATAGAAATGAGAACAGATGTGACAATACACATGGCATATTTCGACAGGGGATTATTTATTTAAAAAGGGAAGTAGAAAAACTTTTGTTGCTTTATAGAACATTATTTTCTGTAAATTCTTAGAATTCTTAGTTCTGTTTAACTTCTGGTAATAAATTCTAGGCGATGCTAAACATTAGGATTAAAGCATGAGGAAAAAACTTCCATTCATTTAGTACCTTGAAGCAGATTTAAGAACACGTCACAAACACGCACCAACATAAGAGATATTGAGTATTTAAGTGAAACAAATGAAGCAATAACTGTTATTCTAATTTATGAATAAGTAAGCTAAAATACAATAACATAAAGGCTGTGGAGTTCTAGGTACTCAGAGCCTTTGAAAAGCAGGCCAGAAGTGACTTAATTACTCTTTAACAAGAAGATTTTCTCACCCTGATTTCTGCATTAGCCACCAGATAGTACTGCTTCTTTCTCTACCACTGAACATACAAAACTGTGGTTTAGATGGCGACAGTGTCATATGATTAGGATTTTGATTGGATTTTGTTTGTTCTGCTCTACTAAGCCTCACATAAATCTTAGCAAGTCACTAGATGGCACCAAAAGTAGTTAATTTTTATATACTGTGGTAAAGCAAAACTGGAAAAGCTCCTGCAAAGGCACTGTTGGAGGAGAGGAGAAGAGTGAGAATCTATAGCAGATAGTTGGGTGGCAGATGTTCTGCTTAAACAACCGGTTTCATGCTGTAACTTTGCACAAAGCAAAGCAAATACTTTTCAGACGTGTATGTAAGCCCCGTTAATTTTTTAACCCAGGAAGTTAAATGGCTTTGCTGAATCGAGACGTAAATGATTTCAAACCAATCTCACTCAAAACCAGCATTTATTGAAAAGAATAACATAACACACTGAGTGAAATCTTGGCCCTGTCGATGAGAGGGTTTAACATTGATTTGAATAGGAAAAGGATTTCATTCCCTGGTCTGGCTGCACTGGTTTAAACTCTCTGGAAACATACAGCCTGTTCTGGCATACTGGAAGCTTTACTCTCCATTTAAATGGTACAGCATTGGAGGTGTGTCAGGTATTTATGAATACAGTAAAATGGCGTTGGTATGTACCTGCTAATCTGTGTCTTCGTCTGTAGTAATCTGTTGAAATGAAAGGTCGTATGTCAGTAGGATCCCACAGTGACCACTTAATGTTCTATAATTCATAACATTAAAAATATTCCACCTTATGAAAACACGAGGAAAGCTGCTTTACTCAACCATTTTCATTAGGCACATAAGAGCATCGGCACACGTAGCAACCTTCTTGAGAACAGCCTCTTTGACATATTTCCTTTTTGGATTTTCATGTGTTGAAGTAACTACTGTCAATTGCCAAAACATCACAAAGATACACAAAGCATGACATCATTGTCTGGAGTGGGAAAACCAGATGTATCTATAACTAATCAGCATCATAGCAATCATGTAGGAACAGAGCAGATTTTGACTAACCCATCGTAACCTTCCTGTAAGGCTCAAAACTTCCTTTAAATTGGATATTAAAAGAATGTACTTAAAATCTACTTTAAACTCTAGAGATTGAGAAAAGTTACGGTTAATTCTCCCACACAAATCTTATGACCACTTGCGTATTTTTAAGGCTATTATGAGCAACGGTTTTAATGACAACCTGAGACGTTCGTCAGAAAACTCCAGGAGCATATTGGAAAGGTCAGAAAGTTTCAAATGTTAGAGCAAATTCCAACAGTATAGAAACAGACTTCTTAGGGACTTTTAGTGTTACAGTATCATAGCATTTGTATAGGCAATTGTCTGAATGTGATTGGAAAAGGTTAATAAGTGCTTGAAGTAAAAACATCCATGGAAAAGTATAAATTACTGATTTGATATTGCATAAATAATGCCAGGAGAGCTTTTACAGATAATACCTGGTTTGAGGGAATAATATCTGTCATTCACAGACCGTTTATAAATAAATACAATTATTATCTGCTGTGTGCTGATAGAAAGTCACTTCCAATGGTTCCCAATTATGAAGTGAAAAGAGCAAATGGGTCTTAAAGGTGCTTATGGACAATTAAATAGTTTTAAACAAGAAGGCAAAATACTTTTGTTTTGTTTTTTGAATTTTAGCTTCTCTCAAAGTCAAAAGGCTTGGACTGGAAAAAAACGTTGAGACTCCATGATGTGCAAACCAAGCTAGGAGTTAGCCTAGAGGAAATGCTGACCATTGTCGAGGAGGTATTACATCCTGAGCCTTACAGCACAGAGGAAATTTGTAAATGCCTGGGAATTAGCCTGGAGGAGCTCCGTTCTCAGATCCTCAGTCAAAACACGCAAGATGGTAAGCATATATGAAATGATGGGGTTTAGTGTACAATGTTTGTATTATATAAAAAGTTTATGTATTAATAAGTAGTCCAAATGTAAGTCTTGCCGGAATACTTACCCAGAATCTTGGGTGGTGAGAGAACTGATAACACAATTTTCATTCTAACTTTTAGCTTAAAATAGAGCAAAATTTTGATTTTGATTGAACTGTTTCTAAATTAGTAGAAGGAGCAAATCACTTACTATTTTAGATTAGCCCATGCCATTTGAGAGTCACATCTAAATAACCCGGGTTTTAATTTAGGGAAAAGTCTAAACTAGGCTTCCTTTTTAGGCAATAGCTCTAACAAACCCAAACATTTTGGATGGTTACAGCATCATTAAAATGAATCCCGTTTGCTGTCCTTAACTGGTATTAAAGACCAGCATAGATGGAGCTTGTGTTTCTGTTTTTGAATTCATCAATACAGGATCACTTCATAAAACATGCACTGGCCAGCAAGTCGTCTAGGTCTCTCCTAAGAAAGAAGTTTCTGTCACTATCAATATTTTTTTTTTCGTTCAGAAAAATGTTGGTGGAGGTGACCAATTTAGTATTTAAAGTATTTCCTATTTATTACTGCTTATGATTATACCATGCAGTCATGAGTATTGGCGCACACAGAATGCATCCTGGATGCATATACTAGGGTTGCTAATAACATTGAATAATAGAGCATTTATGAAATAATTAATTTGCATTCATAAAAGGTTTCCAATTGGGATCAGAATCTTTCTTTAAGAACTTAAAATAATCCTTACTTCCTTGTTTCCATTCTGTAGCCTTAATACCGCTACTGTATTATTATTACTGTATATATTTCTAGCTGAATTATATCCTTACCAGTCCCTTCCATGACTGCTTTCAGGGACGTATATAATTGATGTATATAAATCAGTAACATATCAATGTATACTGACGCGTATATTTAAATAAACTGTATATCTGGAATGATTGTAAACTTTATATATTGACGAAGAACCAGGTCCTGAATCTATAACCTGTTTCGCACCCCAGTGGTATCAGAGAGTCTTACTGTCTAATTACACTGCCAGAGGGTACCAGGATGGACTATGGTATCTTAATCCAGCTCTTTATCTCCACAGAGTTATAACTCTGTGCTGTATGTACATGAGGAATATACTGAACCATGTACCTGCACTTTGCAACATTTTGAGCGGAAACTACAAGGTTGTAAATCTTCTACGCTGTCCCCTTACTGTCCCCTTCATGAAGCAATACAAGACTATTAATTTACAGATGTTTATACTCCTTATACCTGGTTTATAAACCAAAATTCTACAGTTGTGTAGAATTGGATTGTTCATACCGGCTATTTTCATTTTTTTCAAAAATGGAAGTCTGGATAAAAAATTTAAATATAAAATCTATAGAAGAAACTCAAAGGAAATTTTATACTGTGGCTCTGAATAGCATTTGCAGATGTTTGCTGAACAGAGTCTCTTAAACTCGCATGACCATGATTTCATTTGATAAGGCCAATTAAAATGGGTTATGCTGAAAGCCTCTTTGCATGTACAATATAAAATTAAATAACATATTTCTGTAAAACTATACGCAAAGAAGAAACAAGACAGACACAGAAAGAAGGAATCTAAATCCACTGTTTGTTTTTGTTACACACTAAACAAATTACATTTTATGTTGGCTTTGGAAAACCAGCGGCTGTTTCACAAAAATATTTTTCTTATTTCCCCTCTACTTTCCCACTGTATTTTACTGACAATGCGTGGCTTCTTCACGTGAGAGAAAACATACTGACAAATAAGTAATCTCTGCAGAGAATTTCAGAATGCTGATGAACTACTTTGTTCACCAGGAAGAAAGAACCATACCATTTAGGGTATCTTTCTTTCTTTGTACACATTTTATCAACTTTTCTGATAAAATATTATAATGTTAAGGGTAAATTATTTGCATAAGAATCACTATTTAGATAATTTACTGGATTCTGAGTTTTCTCTGTGGCTGAATACAAATTGTCAGTAGTTTTATTTTTTTGTATTATTCAAAGCCCAGTGATAGGTACAAATTATGTTTTGTATGGGCATTGTATCTCATGTTCAAGGATCTGAAAGCACTATGTAAATATTATTTTAGCTTTAAGTCTCACTTCCTCTCCTCTCCTCCTCCAGCGATGATACTGTATACTTATGTAGAGTTTTATTAGTGTGTAAGGCTGACCAGATAAAAACTCCACATCCCAAAGAAAAATGGTATGGACAGGCTTTGAGCAAGTCCCAGGCCAGGTCTGGAAGCACACAGCAACTTTGCATGCCTTTTATGAGCAAGTACTCAAGGATTTCTGCAGTCCCCCACTGTACAGCCCACTTGTTCCCCAGGTTTGGAGAAGTACAGATGGTGCATAAAGCCTCTCTAAACTTCTTGCAGTTGTTCCTTGGCCAACTCAAAATCCTGAGTTTAAATCTCCCTTGCAAATGTTTACACATGGATTGCACTTGTGGCTTCTGAACATCTCTAGAAAAAATAATATTTATTACTTTCTAAGGTGCACTATGCCATAATTTTGGCTTGGACTTGAGTGCTTCACAGAACATTTAGTGTGTGGTGATTGTGGGACATTAAGTATTTATAAACTTCACCACGAAAGGATGTTCTCCTGTAAAACAGTATATTCCTTTAACCATGAAAGTTTTTTTCCTTCTTAAATGATGTATTTTTAAAGCCATTTTTCCTTTTCATGTATAATATTGTAATCTAATTTTCACATTTAAACCTGGGAATGAAATCACCATGGGAGGAGCAGGCATCCATTTGCTGTGTGGATTTGGCTGTTGAACTGCCCTCCTATTTGTCCCCTGGAAAGAGAATTCTAAATCTGTGCTGTAGCTTCAGTGAGTGGTGCTTGAATAGCCTTTCATTCCCACTGCCAAGTAATTTGTATTAACGGTGACCTCAGTGCAAGAACAGCTTCAACTTCCCTTGCAGAGACAGGCGTACGTGAAGGTGGACTCTCAGATATTCTTTCAGGCTGCTCTGGGATACACAGAGCTTTGTCATGTGCATTAGTAGAGCGCCCTTGTCTTACAAGAGCAGAAGTTACCCCCAAACTGGTAGACCTAAGAGCACTTCCCAGCTTGAGGGGCCAGGTACCTACTCCAGCCTCAGCCTGATCCATGTCACGGAGAAATTTGGGAATGTGCCATCCCCTTCCACAAAAGCATCATTTACTTGGGATGAGCCGCAGACCGGTGGCCACTCCAGGCCAATCCTATACAGCTGCCTGGAGGATGCAGGTCTTTGGGGTGTGCCACAGGTTAGGCGCAGGCACTGAAGGGTCTAGGTGAGTTGCAGAAGCCTTGTTAAAGCTAGCACTCCTCTGGAGCAAAAAAATCACTTTAAACCAGTAGTTAGCATAATCTTGAAGCAGGTGTCTGCTAAACGGGTCACTGAATCCAGCAATGACTCGTCCCCTGGTTTATTTTCAGAAAGCCAGATTGCAAACAGTTACTTGAGCAGTCCCAGTAGAATAACTGTTCCCCAATTCGAGTAGGGGGTTCACAATCTGGCTCAAATTAAAGCCATCTGGCAGCATTTTCTTATATACATTGTGAGCCAGAAACCTTCACCCTCATCATGTTCAATCAGCAGGATGCCTAACAGAGAAGGGTACTATTCCACATGAGTAATGGTGGTAGAAACTGTCCCCTACATGATTTCACGTCGGTGAGTTTTTCCTGTTGTAAATTTCTAACAGTCCCATCAGCCATGTGTAGCTCATTAATCTACAGTGAAACATATCTTAAGAAGCTGCCAAAGCAACTAGAAAAAAATATATAGCCTGAAGAGATTGGTCTTTAGCTAAAGGTCAGATAGAATTGTACAGGAAGCCTCTAAAGAAAGGAATCTGCTGAAGTTGAAGTTGTAACAAATACGAGTTGCTGAGAAGCCACAACATTTAATTATAGAGAAAAAAAAAAAATCCCTGTAAACGGAGCGGACAGGTTTGCACACTTTTTGTAAAGCTAAAATTAAAAATATGACCATACAGTCGAAAAGTCACAGTCAAATCCTCTGTTACATTTAATGAACCCACAGTTGTTTGGGACTAATAGCCCAAGATTTTTGTTGTTTTTTAAGAGATTTTATATGAATTTTCAACAAACTTTCATTAATGTTAGTCTGCTGCGTCTTAACAACTTGGAAGGTTCTTGCTCCAGTGTGAGCTATTAATGCACTGAAAAAAGTCCCCTTTCTTTTCAAGGGCATTTGGTGGTTTGTAAGGGAATTGAATCTACTTGTTCATGGATGACATCACAGAAATCCGCTGCAGAGGAACAAAACTAAGGAGCAGGGAGTCCACAAAGGGTCAGCAAGAGTTGCTGACATTCTCTGAAAAATAGATAAGGACTGATAATACAAGGCAGTTAACAGATGAGCAGATCCCTTGTAGAAGATTCGCTGTGGCCTTTTTGAAACTTCAGAAACACAGTTAGTGAGGCTATGACCTGGAAGGTGGATTAGCTGCTCCAGTAGCAGGTTGAATACAGGTGAAACGTGTTAAAAACTTAGAGACAAAATGTCACTAAGAGCAGACCCGGGTATAGGATTCCTTATCCTCCTTAAGGTTTTCTGTGGTCTCATTTTGACTTTTCTGGTGTACTTTAATTTCATCTGATCTGTATCTATTTCAGTCATAAAAGGTATCATCCCTCTCCCTTGAGTCCACAAGAAACAACTTCTGTGTGCAGCTGATACCGTACAAAATAAATCACAGTCTCCATAGTGTCTTTTCAGAAAGGGACAAAAGACTACGAGATTCTCATTGTGCGAGTGTGTCTAGATCTAAAAATCAAACAGTTCATTCTTGCATGGCAGTGAGCTACGCAGAATGTGGCAGAGAGGATACGTGAAGCGATTTTCAAAGAACAGTTTTTGAGAGTGTGATTCTGGTCAGAGACTAGATTTGCAGCCGATACAAATCTCCATCAGCCTGAGTGGCGCTACGTCATTTCAGACAAGCAGAGCACCTGAACTTGATATTGCACAGATCCCCTGATGGAAGAAACGTTACTTTAGACATGCCCTAAGCAATTGCTCTTACATCAGCGTGGCAGCCAGCTAGTTCCATTGCACCAGAGGTTTTAGGTTCCTCTTTAGTCACCAGAGAAATGGATACCCCAGGGCAATCCAGGTCTCGGGTGGGACAAATGGTTCCCTAGCCTGCCCTTTTCACTGACAGAAGATGGAGTTGAGGGTACCTGTACCCCTTATTTGGAAACAAATTTGAGTAGGAGAAACCAGGCCTTTACAGTTTACTGGATTAGGGAAGTATATTTACAATTTCAGTCAGATTAACTAACTGATTTCCACACACTATACTAAATTTAAGGATCCACATGCTTTTAAGAATCTGGCGTTAATTCCCTAGACCCTGCTTCTTTGCTCTCCTTTGAGCACCACAGAGTGTGACAGCGTATAACCCAGTGCTATGCAACACTGGAAGGTTTACTTTGAAGGCTTCAGTTTTTCCTCTTTCAGAGCATTCCAGCCCCAGCTCGGATATAAACTAATCAGTCATGTGCACTTCGGTTTTGTTTCTTTTAACCATGACAGAGTATGGCTTAGGAAATCAGTCCTTTTAAATTGTAAAATTGCGGCCGCATGAAGTACGCAGATTCTGATCAGTTCCTGCACTCTTCTAAGATCACAGCCTCCCTAGCTCTTTGGCACGTCCTATTAATTCAGATTTTATTTATGTGGAGCTAATATACAGGCTATGATATAGCAAGGAGATTCCAACGTAGATGTAATCTTTGGAAATTTCGTGTGTGTTCTGCTATCTTTTATCATATAGATATCACATAGACATGATTAGTTGGACTACCCTTCCAAACAGAAGAGATACAAGAAGGTTTCTCTATTACCAGAAGCATTTGGTGTTGAAAGCTGAAAATATGTGAATCATTTCATTATTTTAGAATAGGACTTACACAGTACAGAGGTGTTTGCTGTCCTGAAGATAATTTTACCTGAACAGTACACTGCCAGAGAGGAAAAGCAAAGTATAAAAAAAAATTTTAAACGCAAACATTATCTTCTCAAATAAAATGCTGCCCATAACCAGCCAACAGCTAGTGTAGCAGTACCAGCCTTTAACCGATACTCATTTGGTAAATGTCCACAAAGGAGTCTGGAAATAACGTACAGCTGCTCTTTCTCGCTTGAGAACTGCCTGAAAGGATTGCTTTCCCATGGAGAGAAAGCCAGAGTCAAGGTAGCAAGTTCTCCCCTCTGCAGTGGCTCTCCTGGGAGTGAACGCTGTCAAGGACACAGCTCGGACCTTCTGGCGGGCAGCCAGTAGCCAGAGCGCCCACTCTGGTTGCCAATTCATAACATCATGAGCACAACACAACCCCAGAGATTTTTAAGGTAATCTGGCCAGTAGAGCATTGCTTTACCAAAGGGTGGTCTCCGAATCAATCACAGCCTTTGGCAAGTCTGTTGCCTTACAATTGAAACCAGACATGTTTTCAGTTCATTCTTTGGGTTACTACTGTTCAATGGTGATTTACAAGAGAGTGTGAGCTATGGCAATCTCTCACGCAACTTTAGATATTCCCTAAACGAATGCACATTTAGAAATCTCCTTGCTCTAAAACAATGGCTTATAAGAAAAGAATACTTAAAGAGAAACCATCCTTAAAAATAGGCCAAGCTGCCTTTCTTCAACATTCAAAAATACTGAGGCATAGCTCTGCAAAACACAGTGCAAGTAACTCCAGCAGCAACAAAACCCAGTGGGGTAAAACACATCTCTAAATGGGAAACCAAAATATGCTCTTCCCGTGTGATACTCTCAAGAAGATGTTTCGGTGGGACACTCCATATTCTCCTTTCTGTCCGAGTTTGAAACACATTCAGGAGGCCTCCTCAAAGACAGCAATGCAGGGTTTCTCAGTGGCAGGCTGTATTGAATTACAAAATAAATATCACCAGAAGCAATATCACCGGTAGCAGAACACTGCTGTGGTCAGTGTTTCTCTATCATTGTAGACTACTTGTGTCTCTCTCAGCACTGTATTTTCAGCATTTACAGTTGTGACTTACACTTACTCTGGAGAAATAAAAAGGGATTATACAGGTGCTGATGAAGTTTTACTGTGTAAAGGCTGCAATCTGGAGAATACATACGAGAGACTTCATACTGGACACAATTTTATTTCCAGTCTTTCAAGGAAGATTTCTACGTAGACTTGCAAATGTAGATTGCCGAAATCATCAGAAGCGGTTCTAGAACTTGACTGTCTCCACGGAACAGCCAGGTGGGAACTCCATGTGTCTGGGTCAGATAGCAAGTTCTGTTTTGAACACAGGGCTTGTCTCTCTTCCCTTTTTACCTCTATTTGCATGTTTCGTCAGCCATTTTGGAAAGCAAGAGAGACCAGAAGCTGAAATGAGGAGAGAGACCTTGGTCTAAAGGAGATGTCACGCGTAGAACGAAAGTGAGGGATGCTCTGAGGTGCTCTAACAAGAGTGTGCGTGAGTTGGGATGAAATAAGGAAACGTACTGCAGTAGGTGCTCCACATAGAGAATAAAGTCCATTTATCTAATATTTACCATCCAAACAGCTCAAGTAAACCAATTTAATCATAAATTAAATTATGTCATGCATGCTTCTGGTGAACAATACTTCCTCAATAGCAGCCATGATATTAAAGCAAACAGAATTACATTGGGAGAGAAAAACAATTAACTACAACATGAGCTTGGGAAAGGCAGAGAAATTCTCAGATATTAGTTGCAAACCAAACCCTCCTCTCAGTAAGAGTAGCTTGAGGAGCCTTTAACCACAGCCATCCCCTTCCTTTCTGTGTCCCCCTGGTCAGGTCTTGGTGGAGCCACGCAAGGTTTGGGCATGCCCCGCCCCCCACCCCTTTCCCTGAGGAACGGCTTTTTCATGGCACAATAGAAAAGTTTGAGCCAAAATGCTTGCAGTAGCCTTTTATCTTAGTAGGCCAACACTAAGCAGTACCTACCCGGGCTTGACATCTCTTGGCATCCACACAGGCAGCACTGACACCCTGGCTGGTAACACACACCAAAAATAAACCCTGAAAACCAAACTGAAAGCACCTGTGCTCTTCCCTGTACCTTAAATCCGGTATTATATACAGTCAGGATGAGCCTGCATCAATTGTGAAAATATTTGAGAGGGCTTCCTTACCTATGCACCAGGAAATACGGATAATAGCAGGGGTTTTGTTTTTTTTTTTTTTTTAAAAGTGGTTGGTGGTTTTTTGTGGTTTGGTTGTGTTTTTTTTTCCAAGAAAAGGTCCATCCGCACAGTTGGGTGATTGATATGGATTTGGCTGGGAGCGCTGACACACAGCCCCCAGGGCCAGCAGGTGCTGGCCAATGGTGGCCTGCAGGGCACGGGGTACATTTCTGGTGTGCTCATGACTCAGTTTTGCTATACCAGCAAAAAAAAAAAGAAAACCCGAAAGCTTTAGATTCATGTCCTAATGCACGTCGCTGTAACTCTTGAACTTGTAGCTTGCCTCTGCAAAGTAAAAGGAGAGACTGGGTCTGTTCAGTGACACAGCAAAGAACCAGAACATTAAGTTATCAACGTGAAAAAATTGTGTACATTGTATTTTGATGAACTCTAAGTACTATTTAAAGAAGATGTAGGTGAGCTTTTGCAGAAGGCTTTTAGCCTGGGGAGTTCTAATATAAAATATAAATTACTAAAAATATATAATTCTACTATGTTTTCGTATGTTCCTTTTGTAGTGAATATTAATGGGTAACTGTAGTACTTGATATTTTCATTTTGTTTAGTTTCCACCTTTAAGTTATACCAGCGTGCAAAGCATGTGTATAGCGAAGCTGCCAGAGTGCTGGAATTTAAGAAGATATGCAACGAAGCACCTGCCAATGCAATCCAGCTGCTGGGAGAATTAATGAACCAGAGCTATATCAGCTGCAGGGAAATGTATGAATGCAGCTGTCCTGAACTGGATCGGCTGGTAGACATCTGCCTGTAAGTTTTGACCACAAGGAAGAGTAATCGCCTGTTGAGAATATTGTTTGAATTGATGAGAAAATATGACATCGTTGGCTATTGCAATTTTAAAATGAAAGTATTCTTGTCTCTTATTACAAAATTAATCTCCTGCAGGGACATTACATGGTCAATTGTTTCCCTACTGACATCTGTGTAATGCTTTCAGATGAAAGCTGCAGTTTATGGCTTTATTACAGACTTTGCTTTTGGACTGACTCATCATCACAAGTGTTACGTTAGACTGTTGGCTATTCTTTTTTTAACTAGAAGAAGTCATAACTGGTTTCTTAAAACATCATCTGCGTTGTTCTCTTTGAATTCTCTAACTTTTGTGTATTTCTTAACCATTTCAGAACTGCCGCCATAGGAATTTCTGGGCATAAGCAAGCTCTTCTACATTCTTAGGTTGCGTTGGAATCATAATGGTATATTGTGAAATGCTACTGCATTTTTTTTCAATTCAAAAAAATCTGTTGTCTAGGGTATCACATAGGTTGGACAGCATTTCACAGTTTAAAAGATGAGTGTGTTAACTGTTATAATGGCTAACGTTCCGCTTCTCCTCTCTGCATTGTGTATCTGAGCTTTTTATTCACTCTCCCTCCCTGCCCCAGCCTCATTCTTTTAGCTGGGTTCCCTAACACAGTTCGGCAGCGATAAAACAAGCCCACTCAACTCCAAAACAGATTCTCTGAATGTCTCTGAATGTCTCCCTTTATTCCTCCCCAGTTTCGTATCCTCTGGCCAGAATAAACCAAGTTTGAGAAATGGCAAAAAGTAAGCTGGCAATCACAGGTTGTTGCATGTAACTGGCTGTTATGATCATAACTCTGCTACAGTGGATGATGAGATCTGGTATAACGTGTTAATACAGAAAGGGAAAACAAATACTTAGTACTCACATTCTATGTAGTATTTCATCCATACCACAGGACCAGCATGAAAGGACGTACACATTTCAGTCCCTCTTAATTTCCATTTTTCTGGTACATTTAGTCATGGAACAGATATGCTATGCTAGCTTTGATGTAAATTCAACGCCTACAGAAGGAATTCATTGGTTGGTGATCATTTTAAGAGTGGCTTGGGGGAATAAACAGCTGCCCACCCAAGCTTTCCCACCACTATTCCATCCCTGCCTCTGCCCCGTCCACCTTTTCCCAGCCTCTTCCCTCATTCATTTCATCACGGCTCTTGGTGATGCCACCTTCATATTTCTGCTCATCTGTTATGGTTCCTACTTCCCCTTGGAGAAGGGCATGCTTAGTTTGGGAAACTCTGGCTTAAGCCAGAGTGTTACTGCCCTGCCAGAAGGGAAACGTCAGGGGCCATAAGTGTTTGCAGGCCTGAGGTCAAGAAATGGTGTTTCACTTTCTTTTAGAAGCAAATACTCTATAAAAGTATGTCATCCTCTCTCTGTATCTTTAAGGTGCCTTACCACCTTAAAAATGAAAGCTACACAAATATTTCTTCACCAGCAACTGGCTTTTTTTTTTTTTTTTTAACTAAGAAATCAGTCTGGCTTGTAATGAAAATAGGAATTTCACAAACATGCAATTTGCCATATGCTTTCTTACTGCTATACTTGGGTGGATTTTGTAAGTTGTAATACCCATTTACCAGGTTTTTAAATTGATAGTATGATACAGATGATTATTTAGGTTAGTCTGATTTCTTTTGCAGACAAGATGGAATGGCCTCCGAGCCAGAAAACTACAAACTTAAAAACTGAACAGAAGACTTTTGGACATTCACAGATTATTTTGCATATGGGATACACATGCTGTTTTTTGATAAAACACAGAGAAGCCCTGGTCGCCATCGGACAAGTCTGATAGTAATTTAGCAATACAATTTTTGTTCCTTCTCTTGGGAGCCAATCCAGTACGTAACTCACAGGCTGTGTTCAGTTTATTGTATCACGTAATGATCACAGAATAGAATAAGCTACAAGAGTTACTCAGCGGGGCAATTCCACCATGGTTATCCCAGCTACTCAAAGGGAACCGCTGATCTGTGTGGCAGAAGGGAGAGCTGTCTCCAGAGTCAGCTGAAGGCAGAAACTACGCTCTACCAAATTATCACAAAGATCTTGGGCTACAAAGTCTTGATCTAGTGCAAGGTATCAGCACTGCCTGTTGTGTGACTCCATTGACAGAGAAAAAGCCTTAGAACTTAACATCCACATTATTTTTAGGTACGGTAACTACCCAGCATTGATGCCTCAGTCAATAGCATCTGATGACTGAGCTTCGCAAAAGAGATGAGACGTTTTAAGTCTCTTCACTTAGGGTATCCAGTTTGAATCATACCAATAGGGCCTGTTCTCAGAAGTGATGGGAGAAAACTATCAAGAAGGTGTAAACTGATAAGATCTGCACTACAGCGTGGAGTTACCTGAGCTACATTTAAATGAGCTAGCACGGATGCTAGCAAGAGTCTATTGCAGCGTGAAGCTCAGCATGGGGATGGAAATTCTCTGTTTCTCATTTGTGCTGAGCTCTGGGCTTTCACAGCTAGACAGCTGCCGCTCTCTGAGCTAGCTGGGGTATCGTGACACTACTTGCAGGCAGTAGCATAGACACAGCCACAGAACCCAAAGGAAAGGACTACGCAGTTAGGATTTTACTAAATTAGATGAAAATTAATCAGGGCATTTCAGTTCCAGGGACCAAAATATAAATAGTGGAGGAAAAGTGTGATGTGTGTGCCCATGTTACATCAGATTTCTAATTTACCAGCAGAAGAGCCCACAGCTAGTATGATGAGCACAGCTAAGCACCGCAGTGGAGTGTCATTTGTGTGAAATGATTTCTAATTGGTATATTAAAATTATTTAATCTGGGTTTTTTAACGATGTTCATTGCACAGAGACAACCAAATTATTTGTTCGTTACTCTTTACAGTCTTGTCCCATCAAGAGTATTTCCTAAGAAATGTATCTTTCTTCTTTAGAAGTTTGATATTCTTTAATGTTTTTCCGATTCTGTGATTAGATTTCTGAAAGCGTATAACTATTCTAGATGAATGCAGCTGAAGCCAGCATCTAATTTTTGGAAACTATTGGAAAAAAAGTCTTGACTTTTCTCAAGTTGTACATTAAAAAACTAAGGGACATAAAATCACTAGTCACTCTAGGAAAACTTGGCTGATGTGATTATAGAAATGGCCAGGAACTACATAAATTACATTCTTTACTTACAATGATATACAGCTGCCCTGTAACTTTAAAAAGCCTTTCCAAAAATACATTCCACAGAATTGCCCGAGTCTAGTGCTGCTCTCTCCTTACAAGGTTTAAACTGTGAAGAATAATCTGCATATCCAGATGTTTTCTGTTTTGCCTAGATCTTTATGTTTTACTGTAAAGCCTCTGCCAAGAAAGAAAGGGATCCATACTTGCTGTGGTTTGTAGTGCTGAAAACTGTAACCACTAGTCGGTCAGTTGTTTTTTCTTTTCTTTTTACTAAGACAGAAGACTTGTACTTTCTCTAACCCATCTCCTGCTCTTAATAGCTGTTTTACCTGTTAGTCTTTGAAAGTAAGTAACACAGAAGAATTACTAAACAATTAAGGAGCAAAAAATCAGATCTGAGCTCTTGAATTTGTTAGGTACTTTTGAAAATGTCTCAGTATCTATCTTAGAGTGTGGCAAGTAACTTACTTTCATTCCCTTACTCCCCATCTTTTTGTTGTATAAATCCTGGTAATTTGTGTTACCAGCCATGCCCCATACAGCTGAAGATAGCTGAATCCTCTCTGATCACTTTTAAAAGATTTTACATTACACCCAGGTGCATTGTGGTAGCTGAGACGACTCTGCATTTTATCAAGACTGTTATGACTGATGATTTTTTTAAAACTGCAGAGCCTGGAGTCCACGGCACAATTTGAAAATTCAACAAAACAAACAAACCCTTACCTTATCAAAAGAAGTTTGCAGCTATTTCAGAGCCAAAACCGCTTAAAGACGTTATTCAAATGCACACTAAGCTACAAAACAGAATAAGTATAACTCCCCTCTCCCCCCAAATTATGTATTTAAATCTTACCATGTTAACGCCATGCTTTCTGAATAGCTGGTTCATAATTTTTAGTATTTGGAGTTAAAAATATTGCACTGCTTTTTTAACCTCTTACAGCACAATTATTTTTAAAATGAAGTACTGCAACGTCTTACCTATCGCTTCCATATACCAAACTATGGGACTTCCATTTTTATTCTTCTTTCCTTTGCTGCAGTATTTATGTTTTTAATCTCATTTACACACACCCCCTTCCTCATAAGATAATACTGGAACAAGATATGTAAACTCTTCAAGAAGCAAATGCCAGACTGGGAGCTGAGCGCCCCCAACACTGGACTGCAGCTGCCTTATCTTTCTGGTGTGCTCTGCCTCCCCCTCTGTTCCTCATCCTCACAGCTGCAGCATAGCCCAGGCGGTGCATAGGGTACTTTCCCACATGTTAAATCCCCATCGCCCACTGTGCGCATGAGTGCTCCATCCACAAGATTATCATCTGCTCATACTTCATAAACGCACGATTTAGATGCCAATGCACAAGAAGAGAGTGTCTGGCTCTGAATCCCACTTTACCGGGGGACAGGTAAAGTTTCAGCTTAGGACTGAACTGATCAAGGAACTGAACTGATCAGTTTCAGACCCATTCCAAAGTTAACTTTCTCATTGACCTAGATCCCTCCCCTGCACCACATCTCCAGCAGATGCAGAATTAGGCGCTCACTTCTGAATTCTTGTGATGTCGGGTACCTAGTTTCCAGGTGTTGCAGCACTGCCCATCAAAACGCTGAGTTCCTCAGCATTGAGCCCAAAGTATCTAATCATATCACCACATTGGAAACTGTTAGCCACAGTATTTTGAAACACAGTGACTTCAGCTCTGAAACAGGCATATTTTCTGTCTACATTATGCTTTATTTCAACTAAGTATTTTAAAATGACTCAGTAAAAATGAGGCATGAGCATGACCACAGAGAATTATGAAATCAGTAAAAGGTTCAGAACAATTCTCAAGGGATTTCAGTTGCCTACCAAAATAAAAGCCAGACACCATCTGAAATCCAAAGTTCTGACTGAGGTAACAGACCGAATGAGTACAGACGGTTGATTTAGCAAACTTTGAAAAGTGGATTGGGCCTTACGAAGTCGATGGGAATTTCCCTATTGATGGCAACTGAGACCGGATTGGATCCTCCTCATTTTAGGAAGTTGCTCCATGGACCAGAAACGAGAAAAATTGCATCAGAGAATGAGTGGCTTACAGGAATAATAGTCATAAGTAAAATAAAACACCAACAGGAAATAAAGAATGAACATAAAATCGAGTCAATATGAAGGGTGGCACCACACAGACACACTGAAGAAAGTGTTTCTGTTCAAGAAGATATGTAAGCATGTTTAGAATCAAACACATATGTAAGTACTTGCTTGAAATATGACCTAAACCTCTACTAACCCAGCAGTATACCAGATTCATTTAACATAAAACGCACATATGAAAAATTACCACAGCCTACTCGGAACGAGCTGTCATTTTCCAATATGTTACTCACATGATGCCATCTCTCCCTCACACACGTTCTAGGACTGGTAAATCTCTCCGTGCGTGGGTATTGGAAACACATCCAAAGTATTTGTTTGCAAATCAGATTAGCTCTCTCATGAGAATAAGATTTCAAATGAGTTTTCTAAATCATCCTGTTGTGACTAGGTTAGAAAAAGAAATTTATTGCATGGTATTTTCTTACTTTTTCTGAATCCAAGTAAAGATCAGGAATGCAGGTAAGCGGACTAATGAAAACAATTTGACTAAATTCTAATGAGATGGCATCTGAATCTTGCGGAGTAGTGGCATGGGATTTGCTGTAGAACGTTTCTAGCAGGCCAGTATCTTCAGGCTGGGAATGGTTTATATTTTGGATGTCATTTATTTGTCATTGTTCTTTCTATTCACCCTCCTTAAGAGCATTTTTTTCTTTTGGGATTAAATTCTTGTTTTACCTCTACTGCTGTAAATCTGTTAAGTTCATGAGGTTCCGCTAAAGAGAGATGCCCAGCTCTGTCCATTCAGCGTAAACAGATGTTTGAGTGCAGTGACTCTGTAGGACTTTTTAAGGGCTTCTGAACTCTCCTTTTCTTGACTGGCACGCTCAGCAGTCCTGCAGAAGCCTGTGAATCTTCAGCATGTTTTAGATCTGTCCTGGAAGAATAGAGCTATTTGTCTTTGCCACATTAGAAAATGGCTTGCATGCCTACATCCTGTGCAATTAGTTTATGAACCCTCTTTTGTTATTTTTGTCATGTATTTCTGTTTTCACTTCTGATGTCTTATGAATGTTGCTAACACAATTCCTTTCTTCTCCTGCTTTCTTCATCTCAGTTGTGCTGTGATCCTTAAAACAGCTGATGCTGAAGCATTATAAAAGAGGGTGACTTTTGGAATTGATAGAAGTGACTATATTACAGTTTAAAGTGTCAGCATTTTTCTTGGCCCAAAATGGTAACTGCAAATTGCTGTAATGTCGCATACAACCAAGTGTACTTCAGAAAAATCAGATGATGTAGATGTGTTTTGAGTAAAGCATTGACTAGTTTCCTATAGGAATTATATATATAACAGATTACCCCTCTTTGGTTTATTTTACGGGATTTTTTTTTTTCTGTTATTTTGTTTTAGGCAATTTGGGGCCATCGGGTCACGTCTGACTGGAGCTGGATGGGGTGGCTGTACTGTGTCAATGGTGCCTACTGACAAGCTGAATACTTTCCTAAAAAATGTAAAAAAAGCTTATTACCAAACCGATGTCCAAAGGTTACCATTGGAGAATAATAGTCTGTTTGCTACCAAACCTGGAAGAGGAGCTTTGGTTTTTGTTGAGGCCTAAAGAACGTAAAATTTTAAAGAAACTATGTAGGGCATTTAGAACTGGCAGTACTTCCCATGCCACAGTAAATGAATGCCTTTTCTGTTTTTTATTGTCATGAGCAGTTGCTATTATCAAAAGATATTTCTGAAGAAGTGATTAAAAGAAAACTCTTTGATTATAAAGTCTTTTTCATACTAAAAATATCTTTCAGTGTACACTTTGATTTACAAAACCTATTGACAAGGAAAACTGAAATCGAAGTAAAGATGATAGTTTGTTACGGGGGCTCTCTCTTTTCTGTTTACCGGCACAAAAGGAAGACGTGGTGGAGCAATGAGCTATTTCGTTGTAGGGCAGGAGCCTTGCAGTGTTTGCAGGGCTGTTCGGTGCTTATTCTCTTCGGGGCCTGGATAATCTTCTGTTTAGAGCGCCCCATAAAAATGGAAGATTAAACTGAAGCATTCAAAAAATTGGAAGGAACTTGCTAAACATTACAAGTTTTATACTCCCCTCAAATAGGATTATTACTGTCGTAGTTAATGTTACTATGGGAGAAGCACCTGCAGGCCAAGTAAAACATTAGGAATACATTACATTAAGCAGGAAAACTTCCCTTCTGGCTATGTTTCTTATATGTCCTTGTGCAAGGGTGACTTGTTACAAAAGTTTCAACAAAGATTAATGCTATCTGTCAGCTGTACAGTATGACAACATACTCCCCAAAGTGAATGAACAAATAATGAAGCAAAATTTGGTTTTGAGTTATCCAAACACCATATTCTAACTGTTGAATCCTAGCTGTGCTTCCACAAGGTACAGCATTTGCATTTTTATGCAAAACTCCTACAAAGAATTAAATATAATCCATTGACCATGTAGAAAAGGCAATTAAAATGTATAAGGAATAATTAAGGAGATTATTCACTCAGTTGCACCAAACAAAAGTAAATAGGTATGACCAAGAGTAAATGTCATTGACGTACTATTGACAAACTCCTCTCTTGCTCCCACTTTACACTCCGGACAATCCCAAGGAGGTAACTGCAATGCCGGGGCCGTACGGCATCTGCAATTCATAACCCATCTCCTCAGCAGGAGAAATGATTGTGGTGTACATCAAGATACCCCAAAGATGTCCTAACCCTGCTTCCAAGTGGAAAATCAGGTTCCTGTGCCCTCTCTCTCCCAGCACACAAACTTCCACTTCTCTGGTATCTGCAGTGAAAACTCAAGAGAAGCTCTACCAGTGCCATAACCCTTGCAGCCGTAAAAGACATTGCAAGATTTGTCCCTGTGCACAGTTTTGTGATGCTAAGCACATGTTAACGTCCAGAAGTCTGTGTCAAATTAGAGAGATCCTCTGTACGTTACCCATGCTAATTCAGGCCAAAACCAAGTTCTTAGAGGCTACTAATTCTGTGAGAGGTCTCTGCCAAATTTGAACACAGCAGATGAACAACAGCCAATGCAAATTGCCAGATCTTTTCAGGAACCTCAGAAGGGACATGTAATGGTAATATTATCACTAGAGAAAATTCCTGTTTTCTGACAACGAGGAAAAGTGGAACGGAGAGTGTTGGTGGTGAAGCAAACCAAGTACTCGAGAGGAAAAGGATAGGGTCTGGGTGTGATGGGGAGAGATAGACGGGATTTGGAGGGAGACGGTTGAAGGGTGCATTTGAGAAGGGGAAAGCAAGGGATAAGGGAGACAGTTAAGAGCAAGAGGCAGATTTAGAGAAAGGTTTAATCTCAAAACATTCCCTATTACTCTATGGAAATTGAATAGCTTGTCACCCATTTGTACTGTACGGCAGATAGGCTGTACATTCAACTAAACCGGTAAACGTAGGACTCCAAAAATCAAACAGTAGGTAAATATCTTCAAGAATCTCCAAGATAACCTTAGAGATTTTAAAGAAAATAATACCATGGCTTTGTTACTATCTGCCTTATTAAATATAATCCTCAGTTTAGTTCAGTGAGTTCCTGTTTATTATCCTGTCATAAAAATGGAGTACAACACAGCACAAACCAATCATTTCATTAATATATTTGCATTGAACTTTAGTTCAGTTGGATTCATGGAAGCACTAATCAGGGTATGAACAGAATAAAGAGATATTACGTGGGGGTTTTTTTATTATTATTCTTTTGAAGTTGAGCATGACACACAAAGTCATGGAATCTTCCCAAAAACATGCAGGCAAGTTTTTGGGCTGCAGTACATTTCGAATTTTTTCTGTCAATGAATCTTATAAATGATATTCTCATAAACAAAGAAAAAGAAAACAGAAAACTGGCACAGTATAAAAGAATAAAACTGAACATTCTAAACTTCTGATTAATTTCTTTCCTTTTTTATTGCTTCAATGTCTTTCCCATATTTCTGCTGAAATCTGCAAATAAAATTGGGGCATAACTTTCATTGAAAGACCCGCAGTATTCAAACTGTACACAGAAAAATGGCACTCAGGCATTTTTATTTACTGACTACCAATGGGATATAAATGTTTCTCTTTAAAGAAAAAAATTGAATGAATCTGTGTTTTGGGGTTTTTTTGTTTGCTTTTTAAACCTTTGAAGACATTTTTCTACATAGCGATAAAAAATGCCAATAATCAGAGCATAATAATGATATACCAACAATGTGTAAGGTAAGGAGCAAGGATAGTAGTAGTATTTCTAACAATAAAGCAAGAAGATTTTGGGTTGGATGAAAATTTCTGTGTATAAAGCAGGAGCTCCTAAGCATATTCCCTAAGCGAGTCTTTCCAGATCTGCATTTTTAATAGCTTTTTCTTACTATGTTTTCAAAATCTCTTCTAATCAGTATATAGACCTACACTCACATATATATATATATATATATATTTGGAAAACTAACAAAATGTTCAGAATATATGCAGAGGTGATGCATCCTGCTAGCACAAGCTATGATTATCAGTGGAGCGTGATTTTATCTTACGACTATGTCTGACTGTAATTCATTCAATCATGAGTTTAATCTTACTGTGTAGTAAATGGGTTCGAAACCTTTCCAAAAAGGATTTGGAATGGAGACGCTGTTAGATATCCAAGTGCAGCAACATTCCCTGGTGCCATATTAATACTCTGTAGTATCTTAATCCCATTGACATGTACGTCTTCATCACTGTATTTGCTGACTGTGTATCTTCTATGTAGGAACATGCTCATGCTCGGTAACAGAATGAGAGTTTTACCATTCACTTGATGGGAGGGGATCGTGACTGTGTCTTTGACATTTGCTCTCTTGGACACAGCACACATACACACACAGACACGTACATACGGCAACCTAATATATAGCAATTACTTATGTAACATCTTTGGGAATATTGGTTTCTCGTTAATATGATCTGAATGCCAACTTTTATTTTAGTAACTGCTGTGTACTTACTCGGTATAATCCTTCTGAAATTCCTCTCTGAGTCCCTCTGTCTCTCTAATAACATCTTGATGTGTTGGAGCAACTGCTGTGCTACAGTTTCAGTCCAGTGAAAGATTTGTATTTTCAGCTAACTACGAAGGTTATTTGTGTGCTAAATCCCAATCAGATATAGTTAAACAAAGATATACCCTGACCAACATTCACAAGAGCTATCTTGTTCTAAAAAAAGGTACTTCGCAAATCAGAGCTGTTACTGGCAGGATTGAAGTAGTGCTTTCCGATTCCTGTCATTATATGCTTCATCAAGGACAATGAACTCTATAAAAGGACTTATAACTGCAAAGTAACGATAGCATGAAAACCAGACTGGCAAGGCTTAACATCACAAAACCTGTGAATCGTGCAGCACATTAAATTGTACTTTAAACGCTAATTTTGAGATGGAAGGCTGGGTATTGATAAGAGACTAGTTCACAATACAGAAGGGAACACAACGGGAAGCGTAGAACTGTAACTGGAAATGGCTCCCTGTGACACTGCCTCGTTTGACAGATTTTCCCAGCGCACACAAGGCTGACAGAGAAAGCGCTGCCACGCAATACTGCTGTCACACCTGTCCTACCTCAGCTCTTCCAGTTTTGCCAGCTTTTTCATTGAATGGTCTTCTGAGATTCCATATCGCATAAAATAGAGACAAAAGATTAATTCTGTTCTCAATCTGCTTTCTTATACTCTGCCCTCTGCTTTTGGACTCCTGTCACAAGTAATTAACTACAGGATTCTGCAAGATACCATGACAGCCTCCGACCACAGCACCGTGTTTACCAGGAGACAGACTCTGCCCCAGTGCTGAAGGTGGGCAGTAGCTAACCTCCTCCCCAATCTCCCACAGCTCCGTGGGACTGCACTGTCGGTCTAACTAAGGTAGGAAGACCAAGCTGTAATTGATATATTGGCAACTGCTGTTTTCTGGGCAGATTCCCCCCCTCCCCTGGTGAGCTACAATTGTTTTACAAGTAAAACCTGTGGATGAACGTTTTCTGGAGCCCCTGAAGTCTCTGCTGACTTGGTCACCGAGTTCAGTGGAATCTGGATTTACCCCAGCCCACGCTGCCTGGCAAACAGTCACTCAGTAGGAGAACGTGGAGCAAGAGTTTGAACATCAAACCAATGTGCCCAAAATCTCACACGTAATTAAGGCACTCATGCCAAATTCATCATATCTGTAAGACTTTGCAATGGAAAATCTGCTGAAGAGTAAAAAGTGTTGAAGCTAATCAGATGAGAAGACACTAAGGAGCTTTCAAAATTAATTGACCAATAAAATGTTTGAGATTGATTTCCAATGGCAGTGGTTCCTGCAGAAGCAACAAACTGGATGAGGACTTATACAAAAGCATTTGGTATATTTATTGGATTTTAAGGCTAATGCATTTTGAGAATTGCTGTTGTTTCCTAATCGCTACTTTGTTGGGCAAAATTACACATTAATATTAAAAGGGGGAAAAAAAAAAAAGTCCTCTCCCCACAAAAGCATGCCTTTCTGCACTTGGCACACGAGGCTCAAATAACTCAATAAAGATTAGATGTACTTCAAACTGAAACACACTAGTGCCCAAGCAGCTGTCTTCTTTCCAGGCAAGCTGTGTGTGATTTGGGGTGGGAATAAAAATATGTTCTATTAGCCAATGATCAAGCCAGATGTGTGGGGTTTTTTTAAATCCAAATTAATTTTTCAAGGCACACTGAAGCAGGTTTGTATGAAACTCTTACAGCAGTTCCTGAGTTTTTTTAGATTTATTTATTTTTTTTCCAAATTTCATATAACGGAGGGGTTTATTCATGTCCTACATTTTCTGGTTTCTTATCTG